AAAAAATGCCGCATTTACAGCACTTCCTGATGCAAGTGCATCACACCCACACACATACACCAATGCAGGCACGCACATGCGCACCCCACCACATGATAAAGTAGAGAAACGTGTGCTTACGGAGGGAAGGTCACGTGGTGATAAAGAGCGTGTCCTGGCTAGTGTGTCTCAGTGGTTGAGCATGGACCTATGAACCAGGAGATCACAGTTCGATTCCCTGTCAGGGCACAGGCCTGGGTTATGGGCTCAATTAAGACAGCCCAATGGAGGGCGTGCGGGAGGCAGCTGATCAATGATTCTCTCTCATCCTTGATGTTTCTATCACTCTCTCCCTCTCCCTTCCTCTCTGAAATCAATAAAAATATATTTTAAAAAAAGAGAGAGCTTGCCTGGCCGGCGTGGCTCAGTGGTTAAGTGTCGACGTATGAACCAGGAGGTCACGGTTTGATACCCAGTCAGTGCACAAGCCTGGCTTGCAGGCTCATCCCCAGTGTGGGGTGTGCAGGAGGCAGCCAATCAATGATTTCTCTCTCATTTTTGATGTTTCTATCTCTCTATCCCTCTCCCTTTCCCTCTGAAATCAATAAAAAACATATTTAAGAAAATAATAAAGGGACAAGTTTAAATCTGTTCATTTCGTTTTTCACAAATACCCCGTATCAGAAAATGTAAGACTCCGATCTGCCTCTAATTCTGGAGTAATGCACTGGGCCTTCCTGAAACTACTTTCTCTTCCCTGGAAATTAGATGGTATCTCCCTCGGGGATTTTTTTTTTTTTTTGTGACTTGCTTGGAAGACAAAGGGAAATGAGAGAGAGAGAGAGAGAGAGAGAGAGAGAGAGAGAGAGAGAGAGAAAGAGAGAGAGAGAGAATTGATTATCTCGCTGGAACCTAACTGCAGGGCAGACATCCCTGCCCTGAGCCTGGGTGGGGCTTGGACAAGCTATAGTAAAGCAGGTGGCCTGGAAACAGAGGCAGAGGCCAGCACTAGAAGACACAGCCAGCAGGAGAGGCAGGGCTCTGGGGTGCACTGTGTGGGGAGCTCCCTGGACCCAAACCTGGCTGAGGACCGGCGGCGGGGACACCACCCACAGTACACCCTGGAGCAAACACTGACCTTCCCTAAGCTTGAATCAGGTCAGCTACACAGCTCGCAGCTGTGCTGGTGCAGAAAACCGATGTCCCCGAGCTTTCTGACAGTGTAGGCGAAGCCAGGAAATTCTGTGATGCTTCACTAGCTTCATTCCAGCCCGAGAATCATCTAACAGCTCACCACGAGACCCAACAATGAACCGACAAGCTAGACTTTTCACTGCTATGAATCAGGCTTTAAGGTGTTGAGAACTAGGAATTGCCTGGCTGGCATGGTTCAGTGGATGAGCTTTGACCTATGAACCAGAAGGTCACAGTTCGATTCCTGGTCAGGGCACATGCCCGGGTTGTGGGCTTGATCCCCAGTAGGGGACCTGCAGGAGGCAGCCGATCCATGACTCTCTCTCATCATTGATGTTTCTATCTCCTCTCCCTCTCCCTTCCTCTCTGAAATCAATAAAAATATATTTTAAACGTATCCAGGAATAAATAAGATACCAACAGGTCATATCTCACCACCACCAAGCTATTGAGTCTTCCCTAGTGAGCCAGTGAGTTAGAGAATGCCTGATTCTATTAGCCTTAAATTCATCAATTAAATGAGATTGGAAATGTGTGTCTCACCAAAGGGACCGCAGGGATTTCATCTCTTAATTGGTGCTTGTAATGTCCTTTGAAAACCACAAATCACCTTCCAAATATAAGGCATCACTCAGTCCGGTTCCACTCCCGACTTAGAGGACACGAAGCCTGCAAGCTCTTCCTGTGCTGGGAAGGAAGGAAAGGCAATGAATAACGTCTGTGGAGTGCCTGCCATGTGCAGGGCCCTGTGCTCTGTTCTTAATATGCACGACTTCATCCAGAATTTCTCTTCTGTGGGGAGGAGCGTAATTGGAAATTTTAAAGTTGTAGCAAATGTGCAAAAAAGAACAGACAAGCCATTCAGGCCATCATAAATTATATTACCATGTCAACATATTTGCTTCTAATTTCTTTCCATAATTAAAAAAAAAAATCAGTTGTTTTATTTAACACTAGAGGCCCGGTGCACAAATTCGAACCAGTGGGGTACCTCGGTCTGGCCTGCAGGATCGGGCCAAAACCGGCTCTCTGACATCCCCTGAGTGGTCCTGGATTGCGAGAAGGCACAGGCCAGGCCAAAGAACCCCACTGGTGCACGATCGGGGGGAGGGAGGGATGCAGGAGGTTGGCCAGCCAGGGAGGGACCACAGGAAGGCTCCAGGGCATATCCAGGCCATCTTGCTTAGTCCCAATTGGCCAGACTCCAGCAGCAAGCTGACCTACCAGTTGGAGTGTCTCCCCCCTGGAGATCAGTGCATGTCATAGTGAGCAGTTGAGCAGCCTTAGCATATCATTAGCATATTACACTTTGACTGGTTGAACAGAGGACCAGACCACCAGACACTTAGCATATTAGGCTTTTATTATATAGGATAGGACAATGTGTGTTAATTTTCCATTCAAACTATGGAAAGATAGCAAAAAAATAATAATTACCCAGATTTAATGATTTTTATCATAAAAATTATTAAAATTAGGTAATATTGCAGCCATCTTTCTGTGCATATAAATATAGAGAAGGTAGATTAACATGTAGACAGATTAATGCATAGACAGAGAAGAATACTTTCATTAAAATGGGATCATACCATAGATCTACAATATTGCAATTAAATTTTAAGTTGAAATAAGTAAAAATAAAGAGAATTTTGAACTTTGAATAAATGATTTAAGACCAAAAAAAACTTTTTCTACTATAAGATTCCCCTCAGGTTTTATAAAAAATTCACTAAGTAACACTAAGAGGTCAGAATGCTTATGCTTCAAAAGTTACATCTATAATAATAAAAGCATAATATGCTAATTAGACTGGACATCCTTCCAGATGAAGCTGGGGCTGCGAGGGAAGCCTGAGTCCTGGGTGCCAGAGGGAAGCCAGTGCCGGCAGCTGGGGAAAGGAAGGCCTGCTCTTGCATGAATTTTGTGCATCGGGCCTCTAGTGTATATATAAAAAGCTTATGTTTTTAATGTATATGTATATTATATGTATATGTAAATGTATGTGTATATAATTACCTATGGACTGTGAAAGATAATATTGACACTCACATTTCTCACTACCCATTCCTCATTTTTGTATTTACATTGGTGTTTTCATGTTTTCCAAGTTCACAGCATTTGTACCCTGTTCCACAACTGAAACCAACATGTGTTCATTGTCTATGTAGATGTAGTCTGTGTGCATCCTGTTTCTCCTTCATTCTTGAGGCCTGAGAGCTTAGCTGATGGACTTCAGTGTCAGGTCATTTCTTCCAGAACAGACATTTAGGTTCCATCCCCTGAGAGTTTTCCTTTCTCTGGGATGAATGTTGAGTGTCATTCTGTTCAAAAGACATCAGGGTGGGAGGTGACAGTCCTGTGACCCTTTCCCTCAGGGTACCGTGGACTCCTCCTCACTGTCTCCTGGTCAGGATGCTCCTGTGAGTAAATCAGCCAGTAATCTCATTTTTTCAGCCTTTTATTTTTTAAGAATATTTTTTATTGATTTCAGAGAGGAAGAGAGAGGGAGAGAGAGATAGAAACATCATTGATGAGAGAGAATTATTGATCAGCTGCCCGCTGCACACCCCACACTGGGGATCAAGCTGGCATGTGCCCTGACCTGGAATCGAACAGTGACCTCCTGGCTCATCGGTCGACGCTCAACCACTGAGCCCCCGGCGGGCTTCAGTCTGTTATATGACTTGCTGTTTCAGTCTCGTCTCCAAAAGTGTTTCTCAGCTTGAGGGCCAGCAGTCAGCCAGCAGGAGCCGCTCTGAGGGCCCTGGAGGGTGTGTTCCATCCACTCCCAGGGACCCTTCCAGCTCAGTGACACCAAGGATCGTCACACGGGTCATCTTCTGTCTTCTTCATTCATTGCCTTTCCTTCAAGTGCTTTATTATCTGTGTTTTTCAACTGCATTCATTATAATGATCTCAAATTACCCTTTTATGTCAGTAATTTGACTTTCAGTAGTCATCTATTTGGTTGCTTGCCTATCCTAATTGATTTATTAGTTCTTTAAAGATGTGGTTGCATTTGTAGTTTGTCTCCTTACATTTGCAACCTCCTAATTTATCTGATTTTATTGTTTATTTTTTATATTGATATTATGTTATTTTTTCTTTTTTACTTTTCTTTAAAAAAAAAAAGCTTTATGTGTCTACAGCACGAAACAAATTAGAAAAATTCCCTAGGATTCCTGGAGCTGTTTTCCTCCGGGCGGGTACTTGTCTAGCCTGGCACGCCCTGCTTCCATGGTCATTGAGATGAAACCTTTGGCTGTGAAGGGTTTCATTAGGGAAAATGGTGACATGGGGCTGGAAGACTAGATGCTGGTGCCGGGTCGGCATTCATTTCCTGATGTGGGTGGCTTTGTTGTGGTTATGCACAGGACTATCCTCGCAGGACATGTAAGCCGATTGATTTGGGAGGATGGACATCAGTTTGCAAAATTACTCTAAATGGTTCAAGACACTCCTTTACCAGTGGTTCTCAACCTTCTGGCCCTTTAAATACAGTTCCTCATGTTGGGATCCAACCATAAAATTATTTCCGTTGCTACTTCATAACTGTAATGTTGCTACTGTGATGAATCGTCATGTAAATATCTGATATGCAGGATGGTCTTAGGCGACCCCTGTGAAAGGGCCGTTCGACCGCCAAGGGGTCGCGACCCACAGGTTGAGAACCGCTGCTTTGCACTGTTCTCGCAGTGCTGTGTGTTTGAGACCCTTCCAAGTACGTGCCCTTCGTTGCGTGTGTGTTGACCCGGCATCCCGGGGCCTGGGGCCTCGCCGAGAGCAGGCGCGGGTTCTCACCGGGCGGGACTCCTTTCTTCCTCCAGGTGACGGTCCTTTCAGCCGCCCCGTCTTCACGCAGGAGCCCCAGGACGTCACGCTCCCTTTGGCTTCGTCACAGTCGGAAGTCACCCTGCGCTGCGCCGCCAACGGTTACCCTCCACCCCATTTCAGGTACCGTCCTGCCTCTCGTCTCGGCACCACGCGTTTCCTCTTTGTCTCCAGGTAAAACACACCCAGGAAAGGGCTCAGAGCGCCCTCCGTGCGGCCTGCGGCTCCCTGAGTTTGACGCGGGTGTCCCGCTGTGGCCGCCCCAGGACGATGCCTTGTCCCCCGAGGTTCCCACGCTCCAGGCAGCAAGTGCCCCGCCCTCCGGCAGCCACGGCTCGGACTCTGTTTATGGATCAGATTTGCTTAGAAGAGTTACTCTTGACATTGTTGCCATGCAGTGTCGTGTTGAGGTTAGAACTGAAAGAAAAACAGAAAAGGGGAAAAGAAAGAGGAGGAAGGGAGGAAGAACAGGAAGGAGGGAGGGAAGGAAGGAAGGAAGGAAGGAAGGAAGGAAGGAAGGAAGGAAGGAAGGGAGGGAGGGAGGGAGGGAGGGAGGGAGGGAGAGAGGGAGGGAGGAGGGAGGGAGGAGGGGAGGGAGGGAGGGAGGGGGGAGGGAGGGAGGGAGGGAGGGGGGAAGGGGGAGGGAGGGAGGGAGGGAGGGAGGAGGGAGGGAGGGAGGGACAGAGGAGGGAGGGAGGGGGGAGGGAGGAAGGGGAGGGGGGAGGGAGGGGGAGGGAGGGAGGAGGGGGGAGGGAGGAAGGGAGGGAGGGAGGGAGGGAGGGGGGAGGAGGAAGGGAGGGAGGGGGGAGGGAGGGAGGGAGGGGGGAGGGAGGGAGGAGGGAGGGGGGAGGGAGGGAGGAAGGGGAGGGAGGAGGGAGGGAGGAGGGAGGATGGGGGAGGAAGGAATAGAGGGAGGGAGGAAGGAAGGAGGAAGGAAGGAAGGAGGGAGGGAGGGAGGGAGGGAGGGAGGGAGGGAGGGAGGGAGGGAGGAAGGAAGGAATAGAGGGAGGGAGGGAGGAAACATAGAAGGACAGAAAATAAGAGGAGGATTAAAGGAAAAGACAGGAAGGAAAGGAAGAGATGTTTCCTAAACTGGAGAGACCACAGAGCTGGCCCATTCTGCACCCCGTCCCAGGGTGAGGCTACTGCCTCCACTGCCCGACACATGATGGGGATGAAGACAGTAAAGGTTCCCCTCAAAGCAGTTAATCAAGATGGAAACTTCCCTGTACCTGATAAATTCCTGTGACCCCACGGCTGGGCCCCCTCAACCCAAGAGCACTGTTTTTAGAGAATGTCTAAAAGACAGCTATGCGCCTTCTGAGGCAGCACAACACTTTCATTCTGGGCAAAGACGAGAAACCGTTGTTGTTTCTCACATAGAACCTGTGAACAATGGGGAGGAGGGGTCAGTAATGATTTTGTTCTTATAAGGTTGCAGGAAAGGCAGAATTTGATCCTCATTGTGGATGGAATTCACAAATATTAAAGTATATGCACGTATATAGTATGCTTGTGTAAATAATAATGATATTTGGTTGGTGAGAATTGCATATGCAGAGTGAATATAGGAAAAGACAGAATAAATATTAGTATGACTCTTGTAACATTGGGTTTGAAAAGCACTTTTCAAAAATCATAATTTTTATCAGGGAAGTTGAATAAACACACAGAAAGTAATGATTTCAGCCCATTAGGGCAAAATAAACTGTTTTTGCCTACTTTTGATGTTGCATTAAAAATGCCATATTTATATGTATAACTACTTTGATCTTAAAATTATGTAGATTAATTACCTAAATGACTCAACTGCACAAAGATAAAGAAAGACAACTGTCGCTTATATTTTTTTGAGCTAATTTCTGCATCTTTTCTTTTCAATAACAAAAGAGTTGAAAGGTGATGTCTCGTCACGTAATTCTTATTCACTGACCCAGGCTGCCTGTCCTTGCACCCCCACAACAATGAGCCCAGCTGTAGGTGAAAAATCACTCACTTAACAAATGGATTTTGTACTGTTGGTTGATTTTTTAAAATAATGAACTGTCTTATTTAATTTAACATGTGGTTAAATTTATAAATATCTGACTAACACATTTTTCATTTCACCTAATACTTAAAGTTGTAATTTTATTTTTGAGAGCTAATTTGATTGCTCATAAGAGTTGGTAGCGTTTGTTAAAGAAGGAAAAGAATATGTGAGTCCCTATAAGATGAGTCCCTATTGGCTAAGCACAAGAAGCAATCTATCAACCAATCAGCTACTTATATAAGATATCTATTGGTTTACTACAGGCAGAAAAAATATAAAACAATGGCTCTCAAGATAATTCACCAATTAGTTTCATCAATAAAGAAATACACAGAAAGAAGAGACTAAAAATCCCAGGATTGTTAAATGGCTTTTGTTTCTAGGATACTTGTAACTTAGGAGGCTAAAGACAGGCAATTTAGTTCCAACCCCATAACCTGGTTGGCGCATCTCTAATATTATGGCATAAACCACTAGTAGGCAAGAGGCTTTGAAAGGAGGGAGGAAAGAAGGGAGGAAAGAAGGGATTCGGAGTGCTGAAATGTCAGGCTCAGACCCAAATTCCTTGATAATAAAGCAAAGGGCAGAGGCGTCTCAGATAATGCCCATTGGCGACAGAATGTGAAGCTGTTTCAATCTGACCCTTTCTAACTTAAATGTGATAGCAACAAACTCACTATAACCACATTCGCCTTAGACTGTGTGTGTGAGATGGAGGAAAATCTTTAGGGTTCAGGTCCTCACATTATCTGAGGGCACGTGGATATAGTGGGAAGCCGTCCGAGAGAGGTGTTGTCTTGGAATGAAGAAGGGCGGCGATGCTAGTCCCCACTCTGTCATCCTGTGTGTGACCTTGTGAGATCTTGGAAGAATCATTCCTCTTCCCTGGCACCTGCTTCCTTATCCAGTTGATTTTGAGATCTGTGGATATTTTATTTTATTTCTTTAGTAAATTCCCTTTAGCAAATTAAATCTCATGGGGAAATCAAGCGGTATGTAAAGCAGAACTTTGGAACTAGTGTAAAAACAGCTTGTCTAGAGTCACTTCAAATAGAATAAAAGCACCGTTACAAACGAGATCCCGGGAAAGGAAGAAGACGCAGACGTGTCAGGCAAGTTGGGACAGAAGCGCCCCCATGGAAAGATCCCTCTGTTTTCTAACAACAGGGGGGACGGGGGCATGAAAGCCTAGCCAGGGGGCTTTGCAAAGGGAAGGAGCATGGGGTCCCCAAAGATGGCACGTGGGCGGGATGGCTTATCCCTAGAAAGTCTAGGATGACCTGAGAGCAGCAAGCTGAGTCCCGGCTCAGAGGACGCATTGCATTTGGAAAAGTGAGGCGACACAGAAGAGGTTTCTACATGGGCCACATACACGCTCATCAGAGACAGGTCTTTGAAGGTCATCGAGGGTGTGCCCCACCTGCTCTGGGCCTGGTCACCGCAGGAGGCTCCTCTCTCCAGCTCTGCCTGCCCCGCCTGGTCACAGCGGCACTCCGGAGTCCGGACGGGGCCCAGATTTGGAGTAAACCACACCAGTGCTCCCCCGGCTTCTCTCCTTCTCAGCTCCCTCCGCCCCCCCCGTGACCCCTAAAGCCCCAGGCGATGAAACAGGAGGGATGTTACTGTGCAAATTTTAGAAGTGATGGAGATGACTTCTGCAGAAATTGGATGACTTGTCCAATGATACACTAGACCGAAGGTTCTTCCCACAAGGCAGTGCTGTCAAAGGTACTAGTAGGGCACATGGCCCCCACCCCGCTAGGCTGCTCACCACCTAGATCAGGGGTCCTCAAACTACAGCCCACGGGCCACATGCAAATACAAATATTGTATTTGTTCCCGTTTTGTTTTTTTACTTCAAAATAAGATATGTGCAGTGTGCATAGGAATTTGTTCATAGTTTTTTTTTAAACTATAGTCCGGCCCTCCAGCGGTCTGAGGGACAGTGAACGGGCCCTCTGTTTACAAAGTTTGAGGACCCCTGGCCTAGATTGTGGGGTTCTCTTCAGAGGTGCAGGGATGAGCCCAGAAACAGGCACTTCGTGTACTTCTAAAGCAGGGGTGGGGAACCTTTCTCTGCCAAGGGTCATTTGGATATTTATAACATCATTTGCGGGCCATACACAATTCTCCACTTAAAAATTTGCCAAACATTTTTAAATTGATCATTTGGTCAAACATTTAATGAACTCGCCCCTAATGCCTTAGCAGGGCCAGATCCAGTGACTTCTCTGGTCTTATACAGACTACAGTCTGGTCTGTAGGCCAGACGTTCCCCACCCCTGTTCTAAAGCAAGGCCCAGTTTTGAAACATACATGCACACATACACATGCCCCCACCCCCCCCACACGCATGCACACACACATGCACATACTATATGCACACACACGCACCCACCCACTTATAAACACACACACGCACACACTTGCATTATGGAAGGAAACAGAAAGACGTGGCCGCCACCGTCGTATTCTTGACTCTGGGCTTAACGTCTCAATAGTGAAGAATGTTTCCAGCAAAAGGTCAAGATTTTAATTTGAATCCATTATGTTTCCTGGGATTGGTATGATATTAATTAGATGCTTAAAATAATCATCTAAAGCACATTTCCTCACCAGCATCGTAGGAACATTCTCCCGGGTGTGCAGCCCTATCCGTAACGTGTGCACGACCACCACTCGAATCCATTCATGCACCTCTCTCTCCATCGATTCAGACGCAGTAATGAGGACGGCGCCCACACCGGCGCGGCCGGTCCATGTGCCTGGTGTGATAATCATTGCTCCGAGCGACGGGAATGATGATGGGGCGGCTGCGAGAGCCTCCTTGGCTGCAGCAAAGCCCAGCACTTTGCATTTGTGTTGAGAAACAATTACGGAGCTTAATTAGGAGCATGTAAGGATGACAGCACTTATTCCAGTGATTGATTTCCAAACGAAGGGGACCTGGGAGCCCAGGCCCTGTCTGCTTCGCTCTGAAAGGAAAGGGAGCTCGAGGCCCGAGACATGGCCGGGAGGCACCGGGAGGCTGTGTGACCCCCGAAGAGGGGAGGACATGGGGGCAGGAGACATGCCCCAAGAGGACACTTTTCACCCTTTGCTTCTCCTAACGTTGAGGACAAGAGGAAGAACAGAGGTTTGGCAGGAAGTTCAGCAAAGTGAAATGTAGTATTTTTGACTGTTGTCTTTCAAACTCTTTTTATTGAAAAGAACTTGAGGTGCACAGAATTGGGTCAATGAGTTCAAAGTGACGAGTTTGTCCAAAAGCTAGAATGGATTTGATGTTGGTGGGTCAATTACTCTGAACTTCCCAGGGGTCAAGGGTGAGTTACCTGTGTCCATATTTCTTTCCCTGAGGTAGACCTTGGCCGTCTCTCTCCATGGGGTGTTTTAGGGTGCTCCTGAAAAGGTCAGCGCTGTTTGGAAGAATTTTGTAAAATGTGATTTCTTTCTTACATTTCATCCCCCTACCCCCGCCCCTCAATGCATGTTCAGTGTGATCTTGGTGTGACCGGAGGAATCCTTGGAAATTGGCTCTATTCCATGGGAAAGGCTATCCACTTGTTTTCCTAAATGACTGATTGTCTAAACTCAGCATCTTTAAATGTCTGTTTTCCGAAATCATTTTTTTTTTAAATATATTTTATTGATTTTTTACAGAGAGGAAGGGAGAGAGATAGAGAGTTAGAAACATCGATGAGAGAGAATCATCGATCAGCTGCCTCCTGCACATCTCCTACTGGGGATATGCCCGCAACCCAGGTACATGCCCTTGACCGGAATCGAACCTGGGACCTCTCAGTCCGCAGGCCGACGCTCTATCCACTGAGCCAAACCGGTTTCGGCCCGAAATCATTTTTTAAAATATATTTTTATTGATTTCACAGGGGAAGGGAGAGGGAGAGATAGAAACATCAGTGATGAGAGAGAATCATTGATGGGCTGCCTCCTGCACGCCCCCTACTGGGGATCAAGCCCGCAACCCAGGCATGTGCCCTGACCAGGAATCGAACCCTGAACCACTGGTTTATAGGTCGATGCTCAACCACTGAGCCACCTCGGCCAGGCTCCTAAATGATTCATATATGAATACGCACACCTGTGTCCTTGTAATGCATCTCACTAACTATGATATACCCACGCGTCTACATGTCTGGATATGCTGATGAAACTTAGGGGTGCCAGGGGGAGTTAGCGATAATCACTGGGCATTCTCTCGTCTTCAAGTGACTGAAGGGCATTTCCAGAGCATTTTCTGGTTCTTAAACATAAAGCATGGCGAGGCCTTCCTCCCACTTAATTCACGGACTAGAGCAGCGGTTCTCAACCTGTGATTAGCCAACCTGTGGGTCGAGACCCTTTCACAGGGGTCGCCTAAGACCACCGGAAAACACATATATAATTACATATTGTTTTTGTGATGAATCACTATGCTTTAATTATGTTCAATTTGTAACAATGAAAATACATCCTATCAGATATTCCCATTACAATTCATAACAGTAGCAAAATTACAGTTTTGAAGTAGCAACGAAAATAATTTTATGGTTGGGGGTCACCACAAGATGAGGAACTGTATTAAAGGGTCGCGGCATCAGGAAGGTTGAGAACCGCTGGACTAGAGGATTGCTCAGTAATAACTAAGCCAGGGACTTGGCTGTCTAAACTGAAAGCTTCTCGAGCCCTGTCTGTGCTGTTCCAGTATCAGGACAGCTTGGCATTTCCAAGCACCGTGGCGCTGGTTCCAGCGTGATTAATTTTCCCAGGAAAAAACCAACAGGGACAGGCGTGTTCCATGGCCACCGGGCTGTTGTCGGGTTGTTATCAGCCTCCGCCCGGCACTGTGAGATCTTGGCCATCTTTCCTGGGCCGTTTGTAACACATTCGTCCGCATGTCTCTCCCTAAATCATCCTGACGTTTCATTTCACAGTGTCAGCTCTGGGTGAGCAGGATGGTCACGCTGTTGGAAAAGTTGCTCCAGGAGTAAGATGGTCTGTGTTCTTGACAGATCGTTTTCTTTCTCATGTTGAGGGTTCTGTTGCCTCTTTGTACTCATTTAGGTGAATGGTTGTAATTCATAAAGCGTAGATCTTTCTTTTCTTTGTTTTAAAAAATATTTTTATTGATTTCAGAGAGGAAGGGAGAGGAAGAGAAAGATAGAAACATCAAGGATGAGAGAGAATCATTGACTAGCTGCCTCCTGCACGCCCCCCCTATTGGGGATCAAGCCCACAACCCGGGCATGTGCCCTGGCCAGAATCGAACCGTGGCCTCCTGGTTCATAGGTCGATGCTTAACCACTGAGCCACGCTGGCCGGGCAAGAGTAGATCTTTCAAATATCCTACTTACTGATTTCGCTGAGCTCAGGGGCACAGTTATCTTTGGGGGAACTGGCAGGACCGTCTCCACATGGAGCCATGCTGCGTTTTCTAACCGATCCCTGGAATTACAAAGGTTGTGTATGACACATAGTGGCTGACTCTTTATATGATTACGATAACTTGATCTTTCCCCCTTGAAGGTGGAGGCAAAATGGCACAGACCTGGATTTCTCCATGAGTTCGCACCACCGGTTGGACGGAGGCAACTTGGCAATCAGCAGCCCGCGCTGGGACCAGGACACGGGCACTTACCAGTGCCTGGCCACCAACCCGCTGGGCACGGCTCTGAGTCGGAAGGCGAAGCTCCAGTTTGCATGTGAGTTTGTGGGGGGAAATCTATAATTGCTGTGATTATGAAAATGTAGTATTTTTATTATATTCATTTTAGAAGAAAATCCGGCTTTGCCATTCAACTGCTCTCTGAGAACAAACATGAATTTATGGAGGCGAACATTTTCATGGCCTGTTTTGCGAATCCAGACTCCCGGGGTTAAAGGGAATCTGGTTCAATAAAAGAAGACACTCGCACTGTTATTACATCTCGGGGATCATATTTAGAAACAGCTCTAAGCGTCCAGATGGAAATATAAGACAAAGACACAGGCTCCATTACTCCTCCTCCTTGTCCTCTGTGTTGAATGTTGGGGTGCAGAGCCCGCGAAGGGGAGGCCGAGGGCAGGGGTGCCTGGGGAGATGGCTGCTCCTTTGGGGACGTGGTCACGGGCCACAGTGCGACGCAGGTGGAAATACAGTGGTTGCCGCAGGCAGACTTTATATTAACCGAACACTGTCCAGCGGCGTCACATAAATGTCACCCAAGTAATTACCTTGGTGACATTTGGGAGCATTAGCAGATGAGCAATAGACACAGTGTCTCCTATCCTTTATAGGCAGCGTTGCCAGGGACTGGAGTGTTCCCTGTGGAATCCAGGGACAGCCCGGTTTGAAGGTAATTCTCGATGCTGAGGTGGGTGGTGCAGGAGGCGGGCTGCCATGCCCCTCTACCCCCCACCCTGCAACACTTCCCCCAGCCCCAGCCCTGCAGGGGACCCACTGGGGCCCAGGGGCTAGTGCTCAGGGAAAGGACCTGTTGTCCGTTACTTTGAACAAGTAATCGCTTTGAAACTTCATTCATAGAATATATGGGCAGAGTCCACCTTGTAGAATGACTTCAGCTCTCGGCAGCGTGTGGGTTAATAACCCGGTCTGTTTCCCCTGCAGGTCTTATGTCCCTCAGACCCTGCTCCACACACAGAGGTTCCCCTTATGTTGGCCATTTGGGGCTGCCCTTGTTTCTGAAAAATGTATACACACTTGGAATAATTATAAAGGCAGTGTTTAATAGATTACATTTCATCTTCCAATTGGAATGGAATCAGCTGTCAAAGTGTGTATACATTTTTGGTGACACCCTGCATGTATGTGAATACACACACACACACACACACACGTATATATGAATATATATATTCATATATACATATATATATATATTCAGAAATAGATAAGTATACACATGTACATATGTGTTAATTGTAGATGGAGGAAATAAAGCAGAATCCACATGAATAAAAAACTGTAGTCCCAGACAGCGGCGAAGTTGTCCGGTGAAAGTCCTCATAGAGGCCTCTCTGCCTCCTTAGGTGGGTTTTGAATGTGTGTACTCAAGGTGAGGAGTATTTTCATTCCCGTCTCTTGTCCAAGGTCTTCACCGGAAGGAGAAAGAAACCCTCACATTTAGAAATAAATGTTAAAAGCCTCGTGGGTTCTGATCACTGTAGAATATCTTAACTTTTTATAAGAAATGCAAAGCCAGTTCAACACGATCCTGATGATATGGTGATAAAGTGTATTTTTATCTGAAAGAGAAATTAAAACCCAGGAGAATTTTAAAAATAACACCTAAAAGTACATTTGGAAACTGGAAAGTCTCTGATAATTGTGAAGTGTGTAAAGTGGGTAACGCATATCTTATTATAAATGGAAATGCTAGGTGGCTTCTAATTTTTTTTTTTTTTTTTTTTTTTTTTTTGTACATCAGGACAGAAGAAACTAAATGAAGTAGGCAAAGGAATATTTTTTTCTTGAGTTTCTTAAGTAAAAGAAAGTTGAATATAAGTATTACTTTTTCACACTCCTTTTGGAAATAGCACCAAACAACATTGCAATGAATTTAATATTCGAATGCCTCCTAATGCAATAATAACGTGACCCCCAACTGGTATCATACCCAGGAGAAAGCTGTCTTTGCTTTTAAGAATAATTCACTTCTCAAACAAATGGACTTTGAGCAGTAGCGTGGCTGAATTACAGCGAGCCGCTATTATATTTATTTTTGAAATCAACAGGGAAGTAGATCACCCAACGCTTTATCTTCGTTTTTCCTTCATCATCACCGCTGGGCATCTATTTATGTGCCTCATCAGAAATGATACTCTTTCAAAACCCAAGCCTTTTCTCACCTCCCACCTCTACTTACATTCAGCAGGACCTAATCTTTTGGGTCTATTTGAATAAAATTGCACATTCACGCTGCACTGGCTGCGCCGAGGTGGGAGAGGAGGTTGTCGGAAGGTGAGGGGTCTGTTCTCTCAAAATGGAGAGATCCCAATTTGTGGAGCTGAGGGAGAAACACAAAGCGATGCCCTTGTTGATGAGTCCATGCTGTTGGACACATGGGCTGGAAGTATGAACGTGGCCCTTAGAGATTTTGCTGTTGAGATTTAGAAGATGGGTTAGAAATGACAGCAAAATTCTCATTTGCTCTAAAGAACCCAATGACATTTCTTCTGGGATTTACTATCCATAGATAGTCAGTGTCACCTACAGAGCAAATGAGAACCAAGGGCTTGGATGTATCTATAAATAATAAAGAGGTTTGGGTGGCAACCTCTGGAAGGGTTCGCCACGGCTTAAGGTGTTCGTGTCTGTACTGTCCTTACCAAGGAGTATCAGCCGGAGAGAAGATTACAAGACAGGTCAACAGACAGCAAAGCACGACTTACCAGTAGCCGCGTCTAGAAACAGGATGTGGCTGCCACCCAAGAGGCCCTCCCTGGCGCCTTCTTCAGGTTCTACTCCCATCACCCTCCATCCACTCTCTGGACCTGTACATTTATAATAAATACTGCCTTTAAAAAAAATTGTTAATCCTCACCTGAACATATTTTTTCCATTGATTTTTAGGGACAATGGAATAGAGAGGGAAAGACAGAGAGAAACATTGATGTGAGAGAAACACGTCGATTGGTTGCCTCCAGTAAGAGCCCAGACCAGGGCCCAGGCCAGGGAGGAGCCTGAAACCAAGATCTGTGCCCTTGACTGGAATCAAAACTGGGACTCTTTGGTCTGCAGGCTCTATCCACTGAGCCAAACAGGCTAGGGCAACACTGCCTTTTTAAATTTTACATGAACAATACAATATATGTGCCTTCGAGTCTGGCTTTGTAGCCAACAGCATTTCTGAGATTCATTCATGTTGTTATAGGTAACTTTAGTTCATTCATTCCCATTGTATATAATATTTTACTATACTATAGTATACACTATAACTTATTATACATTATACTACATATGATATACTATAATTTATGAATGACTTCTGCTGTCAATGGAAGCTGAGATGGTTTGTAGAGACAAGGATGATTAACTTTGTTAATCTCCTCACATGTGTCTTTTGGAACATTTGTGCACACCTTTCTCTGTTGCATGTACTATAGAGTAGAACTACAAGTTATTTGGGAACACATATCTACAACTTCAGAGGGTAATACTGACTGTTGTCCATAGTGATTTCATCAATTTATTCTTTTACCAGCAATGTTTTCTGGGCAATTCTGCTATGATGAGTCTTACGAAACGTTAGCATTTTGAGAGGATATGTAAGAGTATCTCATTTTAGTGTGATTTATGTTCCCTGACAACTGATGAAGCAGAGCCCTTCCTATAGGTGTCCTGGCTCCTTGCAAACCCTTCCCCAGTTTAAAAAGAACATTGAAATCATTTTTTCCAGAGGAAATGCAGATGCTAACCCACAGTTCCAAACTCTAACTTGGCCATCCTCTTATCCATCCCCACAGGCCAATCATGCATGTTTATTGATCACTTTCTATGTGCCAGACACATGTGGAGGCAGGAAGCAAAGTACAGTCTATTTTCTGCATGTGCACATCTGCTCAAATGTGTAACTGCAGGCACTTCTTGAAAAACACAAAAAATGTATTGGAATAAAAACAAAACAAATTCCACTGGAATAAAGAACAAGGAGGAACGTGGTTGAGCAATAGTTTTCCAACAGTGATCCCAGGCAGAAATACAGTTTTCCCAGGCAATCTTTCTGCTCCTCCCATTGGGAAATGCAAATGAGAAAGAGTCCAGGTCTACAGACCTGATTTAACAAGTCGATTGCAGGGTGATCCCCTTCTCCCCTTTTTTAGAATCACCCACTTGAGAGGTCTACCTTTCATGCATATTAATGAGCTGTTTTGCATAAATCAATTCTCTTTTTATGAATGGAGATTATAGAAACCTCGTGGAATTCTTCCAGAAAGCCCATCCATAAGCGCTTCTGGAGTCCTTGTTACTAGGGTTTTCTCCCTGGAGCCCAAAGGATTTATTTTAATTCCTTCAGTTTTAAGCAAAAGTAATGAAATGTAAACAGCTGGGCCCAGGATCGGGCTTGTGCCAGGTGCCTCTCGGCTTTCTGGAATGCTCTCTGCTTCCGCTTTTGTACTGTTCTCACTGTTCATTTAGAAAGTAATCCCAGAGATTTCATTAAAAAGGATAGGAAATGGGGCCGAGTCAACATCAGGATTTGTGACATTGGTTCTTGGCAAGTCTGGCTGACTGAGGGCCCTGACTATGGCTATTAACATAAATATGGATATTAATGAAGTTAATCCCTGTCCAGAAAGCCCAGCATTGGGCAGTGCATGAGCAGTGGTTCTGACTGATCCACAGGCATCCAGCTTCGAGCGCCTTGCCCTTCTGGAGTGTCCCCGGGGCAGGTGTCCTTTAAGCATCTCCTCTGATTATATGACTTTACTGTATTATTCTAAATAATTGGCTGGTAGTGGATTTTGTTAGACGTCATTGGATGGTGTCATACATATTCTTTTACTTGTTTGACCAATCATATCCTTAAAGTAGCTACTAGGAAATTGAGTTGCTGGGAAAAAATAGTTTTTACATTTTAAATGTAAATGTTTTCTTTTTGTGTCTTTGTTTTTTATATATTTTTATTGATTTCAGAGAGAGGAAGGGAGAGGGAGAGATAGAAACATCAATGATGAGAATCATGGATCAGCTGCCTCCTGC